TAGGAACTGGGATTAACGTGCTTATCCCGGCTGCCTGGGGTATGACCATCTGAATCATCCCCAGGTGACGCTGAGAAGCAAAAACCCACCTTCTATTTTTTTGGGAACAATTCTGGTAGGTTTCCAGGAAAGGTTTTTGAGGTAATATTTTGGAGCCTGCCACATCTGAGTCTTTATAGCAGCAGGAAAAACGGAGCTGGGCAGCTTGGGTGGGGATCTGTGCACAGAGCTCTATTTGTGAAAAACATTTTCAGTGCAGAAATTTCTAAGCGCCTTGGGACTGCGGTGGTGACCTGAGGACAATCTGGGCAGACGTGCTGCTTTGTTTTACCTTATATTTCTTTCTGTTGGTATTATTTAAGTAAAAAACAGAAATGAGCACTGAGGTTTGTTGGTAACTAGTGTCCAGCTTTGGGCCCCTTGCCACAAAAAGGGCATTGAGGGGCTGGAGTGGGTCCAGAGAAGGACAATGGAGCTGGTGAAGGGTCTGGAGCACAAGTCTTATGAGGAGAGGCTGAGGGAGCTGGGGGGGTTCAGCCTGGAGAAAAGGAGGCTGAGGGGAGACCTTATTGCTCTCTACAACTCCCTGAAAGGAGGGTGTAGCCAGGGGGGGGGTCAGTCTCTTCTCCCAAGGAACAGGCGATGGGACAAATGGAAACGGCCTCAAGTTGCACCAGGGGAGGTTTAGGATGGATATTAGGAAAATTTTTAACTGAAAGGGTTATTAAACCTTGAAATGGGCTGCCCAGGGAAGTGGTTGAGGCACCATCCCTGGAGATATTTAAGAGATGGGCAGACATAGTGCTTAGAGACATGGTTTAGTGATGGTTTTTATCAGGGTTAGGTTGATGGTTGGACTGGATGATCTCAAAGGTCCCTTCCAGCCTGGACAATTCTATGATCCTATGATTCTAACTGGCCTTAAAAACACAACACATTTGGGCAAACGGATCCACAAATGGGATCATTCAGGGGAAGGATTAGTTTCAACTCCCTGGACCCATGACTGATGTACCTGGTGATACTTAGCATTTCTTTGAGAAGTCATTTCTACACCTAGACAAGAATTTTCCTGAGAAAACTATTTTCCTATTCAAAACCAGTGTATTGGCAAAGCTACTGTTTATGAGAAAAAGGTTGTTTTGAAAAATGTCCCTTCTCTAGAGATACCGGGAGAAAAGTTTCAAAATTACCCCGGAATCCCATTTAGGGGTTTTTCCATGTAAAAACTTTGACATCATCAGTTAGATAATTGCAAAAACTGGTGTAAAAACCCCAAAATACATTCAAAATAAAAATCAAAGCTTCCATTAAATTAGCCAAGTGAATTGCTTAGCTGTTAGACTTAATTTTTATATCCGTGAACGCTTGGCATCCAAGAGCTTGTTTTCTGGAAGGGTGGAAATGGGAGCTTGCAGATGGGCAAGAATTTGTTCAGCGCTGGACAATTAGCGTGGACACATGAGTCAAGACATTGCCTTGCACAAAAACAAGTCAGTGGGAATTTCCACTGGTGGCCTCCCCTCACTGGGCAGGGGTTTGGCACCGTAATCCTGATCCTTCCGGAAATCCATAGCAGTCTTGTCCCTGGCTATGCTCAATTTGGGATTAACCTTTGAATGGCTCATACCTTTGGGTGTGCTGAAATGTGAATGCTGGAATCCTACGTCTCGACCGCACCGACACCGCGGTGACCTTGTGAAAATATTGCTCACCCTCCAGTGATCTTCCTAGCAGATGAGAAACCGGATCTTGGAACCGCTCCCCACCACCACCCCCTCTTGTTGTTGGGCTTGTGAATTTTATTAGCTGTCAACGTGTCAAACTTCCACTTAGCTGGACAGCTGCGTGACCAGCCAGACTCTGAGGCCTGCCAATAAAGTTTAACAGAGTTATCAGCTTTTTACATGGAAGAGGTTACGGTACGGGAGCACTCAGGTATCAGAGAGAAGGAATGAGACTTTAGGTAAGTTCACCTTTCACGTGGTGAAGCAAAGACTTGAGGAGAAAGAAGCAAAGAGATGGTCAGAGCCCCTTGGTTTTGTTCAGTGCTTGTACAATGATGAGCAAAATGGGATTCTAGTGCAGGGATGTCGTGTGTGTATGACAGAGATGGCAACACCTGGGCAGTGATTCAGAGACCCAGCTGTGCAGCAGCCAAGTGGCACTGAGATCCAGACCATGGATAAAGAAATGACCAGACACTGAGGAGCAGTGAAGGCTGCTCTTGAGTTTCTTTTGTGACTATGGATCACAAAACACTTTTCACACATCTGCCTCCTATTTTAAATGTTAACATGATAAGCTTTTGGGGACAAGATAGATGGGTAGATGTTGGCACGGCCCTTAACACCCAGAAACCCTAAACTCAGTTGGCCCTGCTGTTATAACAGCCATTTTTAATCCAAAGCACAAATCTTGGCCTTAAAAACTCACTTAAGACAGAAGTAAGACTATAAGGTGGTGGAAGATTCCCTACTGGATGCGTATATGTGTGGATGTGTGCGTGTGTGTGTGTGGCTTTTTTTTTTTTTCCACAAGAACTTGATTGACTAATGTTTGTAGGTCCCGAGAGCCAGTAAAAGATCTGCTCTGATATCCAGAAAATTTTACAAGGGGCGGCAGGCTTAAAAGTGGTGGGAAGAAGCTGACTCTGCCAGGATGTCGGAATGAGAAAGCCATCAGGAATGTGCCTCGGAGAACAGCTGCTACTAGAGCCCTGGCAGGAACCTCCATGCAAGCTGCCTGGGAGCAAGTAGGGGGATTGGGAGATCACAGCTTGAGACGAGGGAAAGGTTCCCTTTATTTATTTATTTAGCTTTCCCTTTCTGTTTTCACCTCCCTCCTTTCTCCCGAGCCCTGTCACAGTGAGGTCAGAGTGCCTTGGAAAAGAGAGAACCTGCCTCTGGTTTTTGCACTCCCTGGCACTGCAGGGCTCTTCCCTTCCTGCCCAACGTGCCCACATCACGGCTCATGCAACGCAGGTTTCTCTCACCCCATAAAAAGGTGTTACCTAAACTCTGTTCTTCCCTCAAATTCCCTTTTTTCCCATCTGTTTGCCACAGCAACATCTCTTTTTTAGTTCTTCCTTAGCATCTTATGTCCATCTACAACAAGCAAGACCAATTAGAAATAGAATATGCAAAACAAAAATGAGGGAATTTACACTTTCCAACTTCTGGTAGCTTAGTTGCCTAAATTAGCCACCTTCCCAGGCTCCAACGACCTATAAAGCTAACAAATTAACTCTATTACTGTTGGACACACTGGCACGGTCTTTTGGCTAAGATCTGTCCTGGTTTGAGGTAGGACAGAATCAGCTTTCTGCTAAGATCGAAACTAGAATGAGTTTCAAGTTTGCTAGATTTCTTTTTTGCAGTCTTCACAGCCAAATCTTGAGGGATGATGGATTCAGGAAAACCCAGTAGCTCTCAAGAGATATCTGGAGGGAGGTGAGAGGGCATCTCCTGCAGTGCTGCAACTGGCTTAGCACTTTTTTGGGACGAACACTAAGGGAAAAGTCCTTAACCAGTGAATGTCCCAGGTGTGGGGGGAAATGTCCATTCCCAGACAGCTGAGGGGAAAGAGCAAAACCTGTTGGTGGTTTTGGCTTCTGAGAGAGCACATCAAGCTCATTATCCCGAGAACCGCAGAACAAAAAGAAGCCTGTTTTGTTTTGGAGGAGCTGGTTAATTGACTGTTTCCCCGTCACAAGCCTGGAGTGCTCTTTCCCTCTTCTCCCAATTCAACTCTGGGCTGTGTGCACAGAGACCCCTGTGCTCAGCCTGAAACCTAATCGCAGTGGCCACACGGAGGACGGACTGCTGGGGTCTCCATTTCACTTCTTTAACCCAGCACAATCCCCAATCCCTCCCCCTTTCCTTCCCGTTCCCCAAGGGACTCTATTATACCCCCTGATCTGTTCACACTCCTTATCCCTCTGCGTGTTTGCACACACTGCTGACCCAGCCTTTATCTGGAAGACATAAGGGTCTCTGTGTGGAGTTCCCACAAGGGCTATTAATCGTGTAGATGTCAGAGTCCCCCCGGCTCCAAACCCTCCCTTCCTGCTCCTCCCCTCTTCTTCCCTCCCCCCGCCCTTTTTGTGCTCTCTGGAGATTGGGGGGAAAAAAAGTTTTATGAAAATTCACACGCAGAACTTGCAAACTTTGCAAAACATGATCTGCTCCCCTGGGCAAGGTTGGTAAATGGTGTGATTTCTCCTAAAACACCAAATACAAACACACACACACACACACACTGCTTCCTCCTGGGCAATTGGAAGAATTTTCTCCAACAGAAAACAGAGAGCTAAATGCCTTGCCAAGTTAGAGAAAGTTTGGCTCCTCATCCCAACCTGGATGGAAACCCTCCAGCTGGTACCTCTGCAACGGGCCAAATCCAAATGGCATATCTGCAAATCCACGGGAACGTGGGAATCTGCAAAACTGGCTTTAAGTCTCAGATTATAGAACCATAGAATTTTTGGGGTTGGAAGGGACCTTAAAGCCCATCCAGTGCCACCCCCTGCCCTGGGCAGGGACACCTCCCACCACACCAGGTCCCTCCAAGCCCCCTCCAACCTGGCCTTGAACCCCTCCAGGGATGGGGCAGCCACAGCTTCTCTGGGCAACCTGGGCCAAGCTCTCACCACCCTCACACCAAAGAACTTCTTTCTGAGATCTCATCTCAATCTCCCTTCTTTCAGTTTAAAACTGTTCCTCCTCATCCCATGGCTCCCATCCCTCATAAAGAGTCTCTCCCCACCTCTCCTAAAGGCCCCCTTTAGGGACTGGAAGGGGCTCTAAGGTCTCCCTGGAGACTTCTCTTCTCCAGGCTGAACAACACAACTCTCCTTGAGGATGTGGCTCCAGAGAAGAAGTGCATCCATGTTACCACCTTTCAACACCCTCATCCCCTGCACTACTGTCTCCTTCCCCAAGGTAAATGAGAAGCTGGGCCACCAGGCTGACTTGCCACCCACTGGCTCCAGTTCTTACCTGAACTCGGGCCTCGGTGAGCTTGGTTCTCTGAGCCAGCTCCTCTCGTGTGTAGATGTCTGGGTAATGGGTTCTCTCAAAGGCCTTCTCCAGCTCCTCCAGCTGCTCAGCAGTGAAGGTGGTTCGACTGCGGCGTTGCTTGCGCTTCAAAGGCAGGTCTGGTTCGGATTCGACATCAGAGCCTTCATCCAGCCTGTTACCTGGGGTGGGAAAGCAATGGGAGGTGAGGCTTGGGTGGTTCAAAAGCCTCAAAATAGGGAGAAAGGCTGTTGGAAGAGCTAAGCAGCCCAGCAAAGTAATCTCAGTCCTGCTGTGATGGTGCCCATCGAAAGAAATACTCCGTCCACATACAATACATCTACCAGTTTTATGCTATTTCTGTAATTTCCTACTATTACATTTTTCCCCACACTGTAAAAAGACAACCTATGAAAACCAGAACTCTTTGCAGGAAAAGGATAGTTCAAAGTCCACCATTCACATTGTTATGGTGGAAGAACTTCCAGTTGTTGACTTATTTCAAGAATTTACCACTTTTTATTAGAAATGACTGTTTGAGAGTTGCACATTTTACACTAAAAAGATGTAGAAGCTGAAATGAGCATGTAAAAATTCAATACACGATGCTTTGATTTGTGCAGCGTTATTTCCTCTTGTGTTTTGTCAAGTATCAACGTTTGATATTTCAATTTTTTTTTAAACCACCTTTGGAAGAAAAAAATAAATACTAGACATTTTTATGGCTGGGAAAAATCTTTCCAACTCCTCTTCACCTCTGGGTTGGGCTGCCCACACGATACGACTCCTCTTCACAGAATCACAGAGTCAAAGAATCGTAGTGGTTAGAAGGGACCTCAGAGATCATTGAGTCCAACCAGAAAACAAAACAAAACAAAACAAAAAAAACACACCACCACCACCCACCCCCTAAACACACAACAACAACAACCAAACCAAAACCATCACCCACCCACACAACATCCCACCACAAACCAATAATCTTGGGCACTAGAGCATGCCCTGAAGAACCATGTCTACACGTTTCTTAAATACCTCCAGGGATGGTGACTCCACCACCTCCCTGGGCAGCCCATTCCAATGCCTGACAACCCTTTCAGTAAAGAAATGTTTCCTAATATCCAACCTGAACTTCCCCTGGCACAACTTGAAGCCATTACCCCTTGTCCTGAGCAAAGACTTGAGGAGAAAGAAGCAAAGAGATGGTCAGAGCCCCTTGGTTTTGTTCAGTGCTTGTACAATGATGAGCAAAATGGGATTCTAGTGCAGGGATGTCGTGTGTGTATGACAGAGATGGCAACACCTGGGCAGTGATTCAGAGACCCAGCTGTGCAGCAGCCAAGTGGCACTGAGATCCAGACCATGGATGAAGAAATGACTAGACACTGAGGAGCAGTGAAGGCTGCTCTTGAGTTTCTTTTGTGACTATGGATCACAAAACACTTTTCACACATCTGCCTCCTATTTTAAATGTTAACATGATAAGCTTTTGGGGACAAGATAGATGGGTAGATGTTGGCACGGCCCTTAACACCCAGAAACCCTAAACTCAGTTGGCCCTGCTGTTATAACAGCCATTTTTAATCCAAAGCACAAATCTTGGCCTTAAAAACTCACTTAAGACTATAAGGTGGTGGAAGATTCCCTACTGGATGCGTATATGTGTGGATGTGTGCGTGTGTGTGTGTGGCTTTTTTTTTTTTTCCACAAGAACTTGATTGACTAATGTTTGTAGGTCCCGAGAGCCAGTAAAAGATCTGCTCTGATATCCAGAAAATTTTACAAGGGGCGGCAGGCTTAAAAGTGGTGGGAAGAAGCTGACTCTGCCAGGATGTCGGAATGAGAAAGCCATCAGGAATGTGCCTCGGAGAACAGCTGCTACTAGAGCCCTGGCAGGAACCTCCATGCAAGCTGCCTGGGAGCAAGTAGGGGGATTGGGAGATCACAGCTTGAGACGAGGGAAAGGTTCCCTTTATTTATTTATTTAGCTTTCCCTTTCTGTTTTCACCTCCCTCCTTTCTCCCAAGCCCTGTCACAGTGAGGTCAGAGTGTCTTGGAAAAGAGAGAACCTGCCTCTGGTTTTTGCACCCCCTGGCACTGCAGGGCTCTTCCCCTCCTGCCCAACGTGCCCACATCACGGCTCATGCAACGCAGGTTTCTCTCACCCCATAAAAAGGTGTTACCTAAACTCTGTTCTTCCCTCAAATTCCCTTTTTTCCCATCTGTTTGCCACAGCAACATCTCTTTTTTAGTTCTTCCTTAGCATCTTATGTCCATCTACAACAAGCAAGACCAATTAGAAATAGAATATGCAAAACAAAAATGAGGGAATTTACACTTTCCAACTTCTGGTAGCTTAGTTGCCTAAATTAGCCACCTTCCCAGGCTCCAACGACCTATAAAGCTAACAAATTAACTCTATTACTGTTGGACACACTGGCACGGTCTTTTGGCTAAGATCTGTCCTGGTTTGAGGTAGGAAAGAATCAACTTTCTGCTAAGATCGAAACTAGAATGAGTTCAAAGTTTGCTAGATTTCTTTTTTGCAGTCTCCACAGCCAAATCTTGAGGGATGATGGATTCAGGAAAACCCAGTAGCTCTCAAGAGATATCTGGAGGGAGGTGAGAGGGCATCTCCTGCAGTGCTGCAACTGGCTTAGCACTGTTTTGGGACGAACACTAATGGGAAAAGTCCTTAAGCAGTGAATGTCCCAGGTGTGGGGGGAAACGTCCATTCCCAGACAGCTGAGGGGAAAGAGCAAAACCTGTTGGTGGTTTTGGCTTCTGAGAGAGCACATCAAGCTCATTATCCTGAGAACCGCAGAACAAAAAGAAGCCTGTTTTGTTTTGGAGGAGCTGGTTAATTGACTGTTTCCCCGTCACAAGCCTGGAGTGCTCTTTCCCTCTTCTCCCAATTCAACTCTGGGCTGTGTGCACAGAGACCCCTGTGCTCAGCCTGAAACCTAATCGCAGTGGCCACACGGAGGACGGACTGCTGGGGTCTCCATTTCACTTCTTTAACCCAGCACAATCCCCAATCCCTCCCCCTTTCCTTCCCGTTCCCCAAGGGACTCTATTATACCCCCTGATCTGTTCACACTCCTTATCCCTCTGCGTGTTTGCACACACTGCTGACCCAGCCTTTATCTGGAAGACATAAGGGTCTCTGTGTGGAGTTCCCACAAGGGCTATTAATCGTGTAGATGTCAGAGTCCCCCCGGCTCCAAACCCTCCCTTCCTGCTCCTCCCCTCTTCTTCCCTCCCCCCGCCCTTTTTGTGCTCTCTGGAGATTGGGGGGAAAAAAAGTTTTATGAAAATTCACACGCAGAACTTGCAAACTTTGCAAAACATGATCTGCTCCCCTGGGCAAGGTTGGTAAATGGTGTGATTTCTCCTAAAACACCAAATACAAACACACACACACACACACACTGCTTCCTCCTGGGCAATTGGAAGAATTTTCTCCAACAGAAAACAGAGAGCTAAATGCCTTGCCAAGTTAGAGAAAGTTTGGCTCCTCATCCCAACCTGGATGGAAACCCTCCAGCTGGTACCTCTGCAACGGGCCAAATCCAAATGGCATATCTGCAAATCCACGGGAACGTGGGAATCTGCAAAACTGGCTTTAAGTCTCAGATTATAGAACCATAGAATTTTTGGGGTTGGAAGGGACCTTAAAGCCCATCCAGTGCCACCCCCTGCCCTGGGCAGGGACACCTCCCACCACACCAGGTCCCTCCAAGCCCCCTCCAACCTGGCCTTGAACCCCTCCAGGGATGGGGCAGCCACAGCTTCTCTGGGCAACCTGGGCCAAGCTCTCACCACCCTCACACCAAAGAACTTCTTTCTGAGATCTCATCTCAATCTCCCTTCTTTCAGTTTAAAACTGTTCCTCCTCATCCCATGGCTCCCATCCCTCATAAAGAGTCTCTCCCCACCTCTCCTAAAGGCCCCCTTTAGGGACTGGAAGGGGCTCTAAGGTCTCCCTGGAGACTTCTCTTCTCCAGGCTGAACAACACAACTCTCCTTGAGGATGTGGCTCCAGAGAAGAAGTGCATCCATGTTACCACCTTTCAACACCCTCATCCCCTGCACTACTGTCTCCTTCCCCAAGGTAAATGAGAAGCTGGGCCACCAGGCTGACTTGCCACCCACTGGCTCCAGTTCTTACCTGAACTCGGGCCTCGGTGAGCTTGGTTCTCTGAGCCAGCTCCTCTCGTGTGTAGATGTCTGGGTAATGGGTTCTCTCAAAGGCCTTCTCCAGCTCCTCCAGCTGCTCAGCAGTGAAGGTGGTTCGACTGCGGCGTTGCTTGCGCTTCAAAGGCAGGTCTGGTTCGGATTCGACATCAGAGCCTTCATCCAGCCTGTTACCTGGGGTGGGAAAGCAATGGGAGGTGAGGCTTGGGTGGTTCAAAAGCCTCAAAATAGGGAGAAAGGCTGTTGGAAGAGCTAAGCAGCCCAGCAAAGTAATCTCAGTCCTGCTGTGATGGTGCCCATCGAAACAAATACTCCGTCCACATACAATACATCTACCAGTTTTATGCTATTTCTGTAATTTCCTACTATTACATTTTTCCCCACACTGTAAAAAGACAACCTATGAAAACCAGAACTCTTTGCAGGAAAAGGATAGTTCAAAGTCCACCATTCACATTGTTATGGTGGAAGAACTTCCAGTTGTTGACTTATTTCAAGAATTTACCACTTTTTATTAGAAATGACTGTTTGAGAGTTGCACATTTTACACTAAAAAGATGTAGAAGCTGAAATGAGCATGTAAAAATTCAATACACGATGCTTTGATTTGTGCAGCGTTATTTCCTCTTGTGTTTTGTCAAGTATCAACGTTTGATATTTCAATTTTTTTTTAAACCACCTTTGGAAGAAAAAAATAAATACTAGACATTTTTACGGCTGGGAAAAATCTTTCCAACTCCTCTTCACCTCTGGGTTGGGCTGCCCACACGATACGACTCCTCTTCACAGAATCACAGAGTCAAAGAATCGTAGTGGTTAGAAGGGACCTCAGAGATCATTGAGTCCAACCAGAAAACAAAACAAAACAAAACAAAAAAAACACACCACCACCACCCACCCCCTAAACACTCTTAACTTCCCAAATTTCAGCAGGAGTTTTGCACAAGGCCAGATTCCCACAGCATCAAGATGCCGTGAAAGTCCTTTACCAATGTCTAATTGGTCGCTTAATTCCTCCACTTTCACTTGCTCTGGACCTCTGCCTTTCCCCTCTCCCTGCCTGGAGCCCAGCATCACATCTATTGCCTCCCGAGGCCCTTCTCAAACCCCAACAAGTACAGCTGGAATAAGTTCACTTGCTCTGGACCTCTGCCTTTCCCCTCTCCCTGCCTGGAGCTCATTTCAGCAAGAGCTTTGCACAAGGCCAGATTCCTACAGCATCAAGATGCCATGAAAGTCCTTTACCAACGTCTAATTGGTCGCTTAATTCCTCCACTTTCACTTGCTCTGGACTTCTGTCTTTCCTCTCTCCCTGCCTGGAGCCCAGCATCACATCTATTGCCTCCCGAGGCCCTTCTCAAACCCCAACAAGTACAGCTGGAATAAGTAAGCCAAGTTTTGCTCTCTCTTTTTTTGGCTGGAGATAAAGCAGAAGGCACTACATTGCTATTCACCAATCTACAGTCAGACCCTGTGGATTTGAGAGGGGACCCACCGAGCACAGCGTTAGCCATGGCTCCAGTGTTGGCCAGAGGACTCTCATGGAGCAAAGCTTGGGTTTCAAAGACGCGCAGGTTCTCGGTTCCCCGCGGTGCAGATGTTGATGGATGGGGGATCTCAGCCAGGCCAAGGCTTTCTGCCTGCCTTTGGGACAGTGAAAAATGTGCCACTGGTTCGTGGCAGCAGAGAAAGAAGGATATGATATATGGAACGTTTCAGCTAGGTGAGAGATCTGGCCTCTGTCACCTTTTCCTTCTCTGTCATGAAAATAGGAGGCTCATTAAATGTGCACTTATTTTTTTCCCTGCCAAGCTTCGCTGCTATCTTTCAGAGTAACTGCACACACAGACTGAGAGGCAGAATCTGCCTAAACACTCTGCTCACAGAGAAATGGTTTTTTTTTTCCTTTGAGTAAACCTTTGCTAATTTAGGATTAAAGCTGGATTTACATATGTTCAACTTGACGATAAAGTTCCCTCAAGTTGCTAAACAGTGTTTTTCAGTCCCTCTCTTTTTGTTCAGCTCCTATACTATCATCCTCCAAAAATCTGCCTTTTTCTTTTTCAGAGCTGGGAACGGCAGCTGTGAGTTCCCCAACAGCTGCTGGAGAGCGGCGGCAGTTTGAGGAGTATGAGGCAAATATCCCATCGGAGCTCATTTGTTTATACTGAGATCACCACAAAATGCCACCGCATTCAGCTCGCTCCAATACAAAAATGCTTTTATGTCTCAGGGCTTCCCAGGGAGGATGCGGTGTCAGACTAACTGCAGTTGTGCTGGAGTCAGAGAAACTCTGCTGCTGAGGAGGGGGTGGCTTGTTTTGGGGACAAACACAGCACTTGGAGAGGTTTTCCCTTCTTCCAGCTCTGGCCTACCAATACACAGGGTCTTTACAGCTTTTTGAATCAAGAACCCTTCATTTCTCACTGAAGTCACTGAGAAATTCACTGTTGACTTCAGAGGAGCGGATTCTGTCTCACATTTTAATGACAGTTTCACTGTACATAGCAAAAATTTGTTCCCAAATAAGCTTTTTGGTTATGTCCATTTTCAGGGGAGGTCTAGGGTCCCAACCCTAAAAGGAACATCTGTACTGGAAAATAACAGCCCTCCACATCTGGGTCCCAGATGATTCAGGGCAGGTAGAAGCACATCTGGACCTTGGAGTACCATGCTGTGCAAAAGCACATCTGGAAGCCTATAGCATGTAGTAATTTTCTTTCAGTTAATCACTGAAGTCACCGACTACTATTGGTTTAATTAGTATCTTTTCTGGAAATACTTGATATTAAAAAAAAATACAAACGGAGGTGTGTTTTGGTCCAGGATGTGAGAGAGTCGGTGTGAAGAAGGGGAAGGAAAAGATAGTAAGTTAAACGTCATTTAACTCTGCAGCTGAGCATATGTCTTTACAGTAAATACGCATTTCCATATAGTTAGTATGCATGCTTAGTAGCAACTTTCAGCCCGTGAGCTCTTTAGCACAGGAATTGTCATTTGTGGCATGTTTCACGCCTGGTGCAACAAAGCCCCAACCTGCTTGGCAAGAACTGTGGTGACAGCAATGTCAAAATGACTTTTTGAAGATCTAATTCTTCTCTTGGCCACTCAATAGCAACGCTCTAACATCTCCCTGCAGCTTGGTCCAACTGCCTCCATAGGACACAACAAACCTGGGATCCAGTATCACCCCAAGTGAGGAAAAAAAGTCTAGAAAAGGGTCTGTAACATGTTTCATCTCCCACACTTTGCTCACTTTTTATTTTTTTGTGCTGTAGAAGGCTGGAAGGGAAAACAGCCAAACTTCCTTCAACAGCTTTATGCTCCTAATTAAGAATCCCTGATTTGGCCACAAAGTTTTGGGAGAGGACAAATGAGTGTCATGAGTAACAATCTGTCCTACTCAACAGCAGGACCAGCAACTGTGCTGGCCATCACGCTGGCTACGGGGCTGGAAGGGTGGAGAGCCAAACTTTGCAATGTAAACTGACGTAACCCTTTCTATCCACAAATCTCCACAAACAGCTCCCGACTGGCATTATCTCCATTTTACAACCGTGGCAGGGATGGCGGAAGTCACCCACCTACAGTCACCCTGTGAGTCAGGAGCAAAGCTGGGAAAAGAAGCCACAGCTCCTCGTGCCAAGTCCAACAACCCGACTACAAAGATGAAACCAAGAGAGCAAGAAAAATCCCAGGGTATGTCTGGAACCAGCTGGTCTTAGTACGATGCAGCTGCTGCTGTCAGACACAGATTCATTAAATAATATAGAAAGTCTTTCAGCTGAGACAGACTGCAGCACGAGCCTATTATCTAAAGCATCCCTATTATCAGGGGACAGTCTCCCTTTACCTGCCTAAGACGCAACTTGAGGATCCAACAGGTCTTTTCCATTCCTCAACAGCTGAAATCTGCTGGTCAAACGGTTTCATTGCCATCATCTTTCATCCTGTGCAATGAAAAGCTTTACAAAACTGCAAGAGTAACTCAAGGAGACTCCCTCCAAAGGCAAGTCTGGGGGGATTTATTCAAAACCTGAATGCTTCATTTTTTTTTGCGACACATCCCTGTGATAAATGGATGTGTAGCACTGGCAGCAGCACGAGCAGGGGGTGAATCCCAGTTTGCAGCCTCCAGCACAACGGGGCTATTGCTGTAGAAATAATCATTAACATGCGCTGGTAGCATTTTACACTTACTCAGCACGGACAGCAAGGAACACCCTGTAAATAGGAAGGTGGAGAAATATCTAGCAGCAGCTTCTTGTGTGGCTTAGCAATCACTAGTTGTGATGAAGGATGGGAAACAGCTAGCTGTCCGGTACGCAGCTCCCCTAGGGTATCATACTGGCTAAAGATTGACAGAAAAGAACAGAATGGAGGGAAAAATCTCACAGGAGGAGAAGTCAGAGAAAAGGAAAAACTAAGAGAAAAGTGTGCATATTACAGGACACACACTGACCTCACTAGATCGTTTTTTACAGCGATTCCATCTTTATTATTTAGCGTAACTGCTCTGTCCCTCAGAAGGAGAAAAGCCAAGCTGCTCAAATCTCTTTGCTTTGCAATATTCTTAGAAATAAAGAGACACCGGCTTCATTATGGGAATGAAAAACAAGTCTGCCCGTGTGAAAACTCCTAAGCTCTCCCCTCTGCTCAGGGAGGGCTATTCACATATAGAGGCACCTTCTTGGAGCAGAGACACAACACAGTCATGCAAGGGGGGAGAGAAGACCATGTGAAGGGACTTGCTGAAGGTTTGCGTGGACCAATGCCAAGTCCCACATCTTCAGGAGGCTCGTGCGAGGGGGGAGAGAAGACCACGTGAAGGGACTTGCTGAAGGTTTGTGTGGACCAATGCCAAGTCCCACATCTTCAGGGAGGATGAGCCAGGGAAAACTGAATCAACCAAAATGATTCCTTCTCCCCATGGAAATGAGTGCAGCCAGGGCACATGCACAGGTGTGTGTTAAGGATGGCACAGGAAAAGTGACAAATATAAGCCTGGGCTTGTCCTGAGACTCATTCTAGCATGAGGAAATGTGCAAATTATGGCCCAGAAACTCACATTCCGGAGTAATGCTGCCGATTCAGATTGGGGTACAATTAGCAAGAGCTGGGCAGAGATCTCTGGAGGGGTTTGAAAGGAATAGAAGTGGACTGGACCTTGAAAGGAACAAGAAAAACCCTCCATAATTATGGACTGGATGTGTCCCCCCCATTCCCTTCAATCCTCTTTTTCTCTTCCTCCCCCTCTGCCTTTCTCCTCTCCACCTCCATTCACTGCTTCTGGGTGCCTCTTAGCCCTGGAGTTAAATTAATCAACAGGATTAGGTGGAATCGGCCACAACAAGACCCTCCAGGCTCAGACTGAGCCCTTGATGCTCTACAAGGACCTGCTGCCTTGTCTTGAAGCACCTTGGTGCCGTCTGGAAGGATTGGCAGACAGGACCAGACATGAAAACGCATTCATTAAAGTGGGGATCGGATTTTGTTAGAGGGTAAAGGGGAGCTGCACGTTCTCTCCTTCAGTATTTCTCATCTCATTTCCTCTCTCTCTTTCTCTGTGGCTTCCAGCTGCACCATCCTAAAAATTAAATGTGCGTTGGAGGGGAGAGATGAAGAGGGGGAAGGGAATGGTTTTGTGAATGGCTTGGCTATAACTGCACCTTTTGTCCTGCAACTGGCTTTAGCAAACTCAGTTTGCTGGAGCAACGGCGACGCTCCACGAAACCAGATCTGGAGGTGACTGCCTGGGAAGCTAATGCAGCCACAGGGGAACCTGGATTTAACTGCGTGAGAGGAGTAAGAAAAATCTCACTTTGAAGGTACCAGCAAGATGTGAGCACCTCCACATTACAGCAGGGTCCTCCCTTTTCTTAACAACGCTCTCCATCCACAAAAGCTGTCCTGCTTGGTGGCCCCAACAGCTACCCCTGCACAAACTATGCACCTTTTCCCAGTCCCAGATGTGCCTGAGCTTCAGGTATGTCAAATAACTCCAGGTTGTTTTATGCTGGAGGACAATTAAAGAGTCTCTCAATGACCTTGCAAAGGGCAGGCTCCACCTGCCACATGATGCTTTTGCTGCCTGACATTGCCTTAATAAAGGGAGCCACACTGCCATGAGACAACCATCTCACAGGTGAAAATACGTCCTGATTGTGGGTACCTTGTCATGAGGACCTGAAATAATAAGATATATTATAGCTGAGATCCTTGCCATGGACCTGAGCTACAGTCAATCAGTGGAACAAGAGGGATGGGACTGCAAAAATCGGGCTTTCTACTGCCCCAAAAGGATGTGGGATGAACAAAGATCAGCAAGATGCAGATGTGTATTCACAGAACCTGTACTCTGTGCTGGAGACAGTCATCCTGCAGTCGATGGCTTCAGAAGCAAGAGCTGAAACTCTACCTGACTTCTTAGCATCTGCCTTTCCCTCTGGCAGAAAGCAAACAAAACCCATCAAAATGCAAACAAGACTATGAAAAGCCTGAGAGAAGGGCGACACAGCGGCAGCGTCACAAGCACAGAATTGTATTGCCTTGATTTTTCTTTCCAACATGAAAACCAGAACACCCTTTTCTCTCTCTTCTTGGAAAATGATGAAGTCCTGAGTTCACAGTGAGAGAGAGGGCACAGAATAACCCCCACTCACCTCCAAACTGGTCCAACAGCAGGTGGGACTGCAAAGGGGGACAGAGGTGTTTCAAATTCATCTCTCGCCCCTCTTCCCCTGTCCAAGCACATTCCCAGACACAAAACCCAATAATCGACAAAGCACATATAATAAAGCTTGGGTTTCCCCCCTCCCTCCCCTTTCCAACCTGTAAACTCCCCATTCTCCAGCGGCTGCTCGTGCCTGCGCAGCTGTATTACAGTTTAACATAGTTTAGAGGGCTGTGGTGTGGAGCAGCGGCAGAAAACGAATCACATAATAGTTGATATGCGTTTTAATCAAGTAATTCGGCCCAAGCAGAATGATAGTGCCTGTTGGTGGGGTGCCCTTGAATACCAAACAGACCGGGTAGCAGGCCTAGGAAAATGAAAAAGTCATTTACAGCTCAGCTGGGGACTGCAGTGTTCAGCAAAGCATTAGTGTGGGGGCCTTAGGAGATAAAGGTTTGGGGTTTTTTTTCTTGTTTTTTTTTTTTCTTCTTTTTTTTTTTATTCAGGCATTGAACTGGCCAGCTGTAACTAAACCACAGACTGAGGTAATGTCCATTATGGGCTTTACAACCTGGAAATAATACTCACAGCAGAGCTGATGCTCTTGAACGGGGAGGCAGAGACAGTGTGTGTGTCTGTCTGTCTGTCTGGGAGGAATATAGAAAAAAGTGGGGGGGTCAAAGAGAGAGGTGTTTCACAGCTGGATAATTCCCTCATCATGTCAAGATCTCTACTGAATGAGCGAGATCATATGTGGAAGGAGAAGCTGTAGGAAGGAGGGAGGAAGGAAAACTGGAGGTTTAAGGGATGAAAAGGAAGTATATATGCAAAAGGTATCCAAGTGTGTACATCTCCTCACACACCGGTGACGGGACACAGCCCGTCAGCAGGACAACCATGGTGAGAGCCACACAACCTGCTCTGGCTTGGAACGAGTGATCCGACAATTTTTCCATATCTGAATCCCAAAAATTTACCTGGGAGGAGCCCTCACATTCACACGCTGGGCTGGAAGACTCAAGGACAACCATGGTGAGAACCACACAACCTGCTCTGGCTTGGAACGAGTGATCCGACAATTTTTCCATATCTGAATCCCAAAAATTTACCTGGGAGGAGCCCTCACATTCACACGCTGGGCTGGAAGACTCAAAGGTTGTGCGATGTGTTAAGTTTTACCTGGTTCTGGCTGTCCTACTTCCCCAAACTTACCTTCCTCCCAGCTCTGCCAGAATTTGCATCCTAACTCATTGATTAGCTTTGGGATTTTAAGAGAATTCTTATACAGGAGTATCTCACCTGGCACTTGGCCATGAAATACATATATGATTCTAAACAAAAGAATATAAATTTCTCTTTGGTTAGAGTGCCAGTTTGGGTTGCACACAGGTCCAAAATTCACCTCCCTTTTCCACTATAAAAGTCCCTACAACTTGAACAAGTACTATAGCTTTCCTGCTCAGTGCTAGCCAGGTTCACAGGCACAACTACAAGTGGAGCACTACAAGATTTTGGAAAGAAAAAGCTAGAGAGACCCTGCTTTCCTTGGAACTGTCATCCAGCTCTTGCCAATACAAGGACTTGCATTGAGTGGAGACATATCCAACTCCGTTCAGGTTGGGAACCTACCTTTGTTTTCTTTGGAACTGTCATCCATCACCAAAAGGCTCTTGCCAATACAAGGACTTGCATTGAGTGGAGACATATCTAACTCCGTTCAGGTTGGGAACCTACCTTTGCCTCTAAGCTGGAAGCTAAACTAGATGAAAGGTTTTCCAAGCTCAGAAAGAAGAAGGAATTGCAGCCTTTAGCAGATGCTCTTTCATAATCCATGCCATGCACATAGACCAAGCAAACTCCTTTGCTCATGTACAGCAGTGTAGTTCTGGTAAAAGCCAAGAAGCTGTACTCATTTATCTTGGTGGAGGGATCTGGCCCCAGAGGCTCCATCTACTCTGCATGTGAAAGTAGTAAGAGACATCAGGGCCCCAGCAAATCCTAACGCAAATCAGGGTCTGGCAGCGAAGGTACCAGCTGCAGTGCCCCCACGCAAAGACACATGGTCACAAAAAACACAGCATATTCTGTGCCTTGCGAGTAGTGAACAAAACCAAATCATCCAGAACATTTGGAGGAAGATAGGGAGGGAGGGAGGGCAAAAGAGAGCCTACGTCTCCAACAGCCTTTGTTAATTCCCAGCACTGGCCTGAACATAAACAGATGGAATATCCATCAACTCCAGTCGTCTTTTCTTTTCTTTCAACTTTTTTCTAGTTCTCGCCTCCCTGCCCCCTCCACCCCTAACACTCTTTCTTCTGGCTTTTGTTTGGCCTTTTAAAGAACCCCGAGGTAATGAGGCCTGCCCCAACTCCCCAGCACATCTGTGAAGTCCATAAAAGGCCCCTTTTTCACTTCAATATTCATAGCCGCGTGCTTGTGGCAGGCGCAGGATCCAGCGGAGAGCTGCACGAGAGGGACTGCAGGGGCCTGCTGGCTCCTCTGCTTGAACTGAAACGGTGTAGTTAGAGAGGCATCAGGAGTGCTCCCAAAATTGGGAAGCAAAGGGAGACCGGCTGGGATAGAGAGAGAATAAGGAGGCAGGGAGAAATAAAGCTCTGCTCACTTTCTCTGAAGTTTTCTCTTTTTTGCTTCCTTCCCTTTTCAGCTTCATCTCTCCAGTTCTCTTAAAGGAATTTCTTATAGACATAGGGAAGTTGATGGAGCAGCGCAAACACGTCACACTCAAGGGTCTGAGCTGCACAGGAGAACTGGGCATAGACACCCAGGATGCTGGGAGCCTGCTAGCATTAAGGATGGGAGATCTGATCCTTTGATAACTGCCCTGACTTACAATTCCAAGAAGCAGGCAAACCCAAGACAGACTACCTGGCCTGCAGTGTACGAAGCCAGGCCCTTTATCCATATTATTGTCCATTATAAGGACTGATGTGTATGTGGTACCTGGGGCTGAAAAACCAGTAGGTGACTGACGAAAGGGTAAAATTTAATGTACATGTTTAGCTTGGTACTCTGTGTTTTATTTCAGCACTGTTCCTGCCAGAGGTAATTAGCTCTCGCCTGGGGCAGCAATATGGCATGGCCCCAAGTCAGCGGGCAGCCCCTCTCCCCAGTGCTCAGCCTGGGGCCCTGACTCTCACCCACCAAGTTCAGGTCATGCCTCGACCAGGCTGAAGCTCCAGTTGGGGCCAAAGAGATGCAAGGAAGCCCCGATGATGCCCACCTTGCTGTAATCCCACTCTTTGTGCCCCAGCCGTGCCCGTTTTCCCCCAGCAGTAAGTGTACATAACATCACAGCCACTACAGTAAGGGGGTGAACCTCCAGGAGCCTGTTACACCACTTTGTCTCCTCATTCTGAGCACAATACAAGATCTAACTGCTCCCCATGTGTGTTACGACCACCCTCCGAGGGTGCCTGGGGGTACAAATATTGTAATAGAAAAGACACTGTACTATTCAAACACCCTTGTGGAAATAACCCTCAGATCCACAGGAGAGAGCCTCGGAACTGACCCCAGCCAGAGGACAGGCATCTCTTCTCATCTTGAGAAATGCATGTGCTTCTACCCCAAACCCAGTCCCCCATCCTTAATCTATTCTAGTACTTTTTACTTCGTAATTTTCCCAAAGCTGAGCAGAAACGCCACAGCTATGGCTCAGATGCTGCTGATACCTAAGCACAAGTTACCTTTCCCCAGATCTGGGCTGGAATCCACTTGGTGTAACACGTTGATCAGCACGTCGTGTATGCACAGCCATGCCATCTCAGATGTCTAGCATCCTAGCGAGGCACACAAATCCAGGTTTCACAGTTTCTCGTCTGTGACAACCTCTGCTCCCCCTGGCTTTGTCCCAGCAGGGCTCTGCTCATGTACTTGAAGTACTGCCACCCCTTCTGTTCCAGTTCTGGGCCCCACGCGCTCTGCCAGCACATCTCAATCTTGGCCGATAGCTGCCTTGCTATTCTTACCCTGGGGTCTCTGCACAGCTCTATCATTGCTCCTCCATCCCAATTTGCAACACCCTCTTTTATTTTCATCCCAAACCTCTATATAGCTCTGCCAACGGCCCTTAATCTTGTCCTGTAGTTCCTCTGCTGTTCCAGCCCTGGGCCTCCCTGGCTGGATACATCAAGTTAAAGACCTTTCAATATAAGACTCTTTCAGGAAAGATAAACAAATTTAACCTCATAAACCTTTCCCAATCCTGAAAAACCAGCCCGTGAGAATGAGGCACCAGAGACCACTTAACCACACATGAGAAACACATTCCTCCTGCTGTTTGCAAGCCCTGCTTCATTTATCTGAATGTCAGACCGACCGCCTGAAGCCAAGAGGTGTGCGAGAGCGGGCACGAGCAGCCACTTCGCTTCCTTTACTTTGTCCTCTACCGTGTCTGTGCAAACAGAGGGATGCAGCTAAAGTCATTAAGGCTGTTGTCCTTGGAGAACATCTCATTCTTTTTCCCCTTTTCTGCTTCCCTTCCCTTTCCTGGGTCCTTATGCTTTTTATCTTTATATACACACACTATATATCCATACATATGTGTGTATATATATACACATCCTCTCTTACTTCACTGCTACTTCCACTTGCTTTCCTGCTCTCTCTACTGCTGGCTCCATCTTTCTCTCCCTATTTACGCCCCTCCCCTGCCTACTTTTCTCCCAACACACGCAAACACTCCCAGCTTTACATTAATTTCAGCCCACGGAGAAAAAAAAAAAAACAACAAAGTACGTGACTGTAAAGAGCTCCGGGAGAAAGGACCCGCAAAGCAGAGCGTGCCCCTCGTCAAGTTGGCCAACAGCAACTCCGGCTGCCGCCGAAAATGTGTTGAGAAGCTGGACTGTGACATTCGCCTGCAATTGAACCCCTCTGCTTGTCTCTGCTGCTCTCTGCTCGCCGAGCCGGGAGAAGAAAGAGAAGAAAGAAAAGTATAGGGAGGAGAGAATGCAAGTGACAGAAAGAAGGATTGAATGAAGGAGTGAAAAGAAAGAAAGATATCCCTGCGCCGCTTGGTCCTTTATCA